TGCATTTTCAAAATCTCAGATTTTGGCCTGATTTGGCCTGTCCGGAATGCCTATCTGTCCGGCTTGCTTATCAAACACGTTAGCGCCCGTCCCATATTCAGTAATAATAAGGAGTCAGCTCGTCAGCCTCTTTTTCCAGGGTCGATACCGTCACTCTATTCTATTCCCATACAGCCACAGCGGACCTCCATGCACACGGCATCGCACTCGTCCAACACGTTGCTATCGCCTGCGCGCGCGCTCACGCACGCCCATGCAGCGTTCCTGCACCCACCCAGCCTCCCGCCCACTGCCGCAGCCTCCATCCATCCCCTCGATCGTGTCGAGGGTGCTGGTCAATGGATCGCGTCTTCGTCGTCACAGGCCGACCGCCCAGCGACGTGCGCGCCGGCCTGCCTCTGCACAACGTCGCACCCAATAGCTGAACCTCGTGCGGTCCACGCAGATTCATTGTACTGCGTTGCGTCTCGCAGTCTCCGGACCCAAGCCTTCGCTTAAATCCCTCGCAGATTGCGCGTACGCTCGCACATTGATGAGCTCGCAAAACTTTCTTCCTCATCGGCGTGTCAACCCCCGGACATTCCACTTTGACGTGAAGATAAACAATGCGCTAGCGAAAAGCCTGCCCGCCCGCCGTCTGCGATCTTTCGTGATGCTTTTGCAGCCTGTGATGATGAATATCTGGCTCCCCCATCATCGTAGATGCCTCGTTGCACCAGCACACACGCGTCGTTCGTCGTTGAGGGCGCCTCGACTTGAAACGCGCTGCGGGCTAATGCAGAGCGGGCTTGCCGAACGTCCCAGCACCCGTGCGTGCATGTGAAGGCTCTGCGGCATCGGGGATCCTGCCTGCCTCTCTCCGAACATTGGTACTGTACATCATCGCCAGCACTACTTGTCCGCTCCCCTCAACTGGCGCGGTATTGCTGGCTGTTCAAGGCGCGTCTGAGACCTGCACGTGGAATCGGTGTTCCGAGAGTCCCCGCGAAGACATCGGTGACCATCGTCAACATGGCTGCAGCCAACAAGCCTTCGGAATTGAATGCTCGCGCACAAAATGGCTTTGCCAAGTCCAGTCTGTACGACCAACATCGTCCGGCATACTCTGCGACGGTCGTGCAGTATCTGCTCGAGCAACTACGCGTCGCTGATAAAAAGCACGCCACGATCGTGGATCTTGCTGCGGGAACCGGAAAGTTCACGGAAGCGTTGGCCGCCCGGCATGAGGACTTTCGCATCATCGCTGTCGAACCACACGAGCAGATGAGACAGGTGCTTGAGTCGAAGAAGTTGAAGGGCGTGATTGTAGTCGATGGCATGAGTGACAACATGCCCACCCTGCAGGACGGCAGCGTGGACGCCGTGACTGTTGCTCAGGTAGGCTATCCTTAGTATTCCTATCTCTTCGTGAACTGCGAGCTAAGTGCTTGCAGAGCTTTCATTGGTTTGCCAATATGGATTCTCTTAGAGAGATACACCGTGTGTTACAACCACATGGCGCTCTTGGACTCATATGGAACGCAGAAGTATACAACTCTCCAAAGGACCAACAAGCCCTATCGGCTTGGGAAGGCAAGTTGCGTGATCTGAATTGGGCAGTAGCCGAAGAGACTGGGGATCAGGAACCTCGCTTCCGCCATATGGAGTGGAAGAAGATTTTTGACGATCAAGTCAAGAAGACGCCGCTTTCCTTACTGGTTGCAAGTGATGACCAATTGTTCAGTCTGCCGATCGCTGAGCACACTGAACCATTCGAAGTGACCTTGACAGCGGAAAGGGCATGGGAACGATTTGCAACACTTGGGCACATTGCAGTACTTGAGGGTGATCTTCTAGAGAAGACCAAAAAGACTTTCATGGATATTATCAACGCCCCTGACGTCGAAAAAGACACCGAGGGCAACGCGACCCTTCATGGCGCCGCCCACGCCTTCTGGACTACCAAAATCCCAGCCGAAGGTCGTGAAAGCCTGACTGGAGTATCGCGGCCCGAGCATGACCGCACTGCAGAATGAGGTGAAGGGCAGTAGGTACAGATACCGGCGTTGTGGTCATGCTTGTGTTGCTACCCGGGTCGGGTGAGCATGCTTGTCAAGCGGAGGCCATAAACACGATAGACTTCTGTCTCGGAGCCAGGTGGCTCAAACTCTTCTCATTGCGCTGCATCTGCCGAAATGTACATGACTAAGAGCCAGATTAGCACGTGAGCGGAAACAGGAGCTACGCGTGTTGAAGACGCAACGCCAATATGTATTTGCAGGAGCGTGTAGTGCCTCCATGAGCGGCCGAAACAGCAGTAGACATAGACGACACAAGAGCAAACAACTTACCATTGTTGCCTCTCACAAAAGCATCACCGTAATTCCGCCTCAGCTTGCCATCCACGAATTCTTTGGTGTCCTCGAGAGCAATGTTCATGTATCCATCGACAGATTGAAGCTCGCCTGCAGAAGCCCGTCAGTGAATTTGTTTCGCGATGATACTCTCGTTATCCCTGTTGGAAGAGAGGCAACAAAGCACAGCTCCATTGCACGTAATCCTGAGGCCTGTCACAGCTTCCGTTCCGCATACCTTTGTAGACGACTCCCGAATTGAGCTTCACAGTCACAGGAGCTCCAATGATCTCACTCAAAAATCCAGAGGGATCGCGAGCATCAGCTTCGCCATTTGGCGGGTTCTCAGGTTCGGCCGACATATCTTGTTGCGTTCTTGCTGTTCGTGGCGTCGTTGGTTTGTGTCGTTGCGATCAGGCTTGCGCAGGAACGTTCGAAGATGGTGATGCCGACACGGGGCGGCAAAAGTCGTGGCCGACTTGTGCTCACGAAAAATTGCCTGACGATTGCAAGCATTTAAAAATATATCGACAACGAAATTGAAGACACCGCGACAAGCCACAATGAAGTTACTTACTATGAATTTCCTCACTTGCGCGCGCAAGACGTGCAAGTCTTCGCCGGCGGCCTTCCCTTTGCATCCAAAGGAGGCAGAACTCGAACAGATCGAGCTGGACATGAACCCGCTGTTTATCAAGAACATGCTTCCTCGACTGGACTGGGAGGCCATGAAGACTTTGACACAAGAGGTATGTATTGTTGTGTCGATCATATTTGCACCACATTGTGACTGACTTTTCTTCAGCTCGGGCTGCCGAATCTGCCAGCAGAGACCCCAGAACCAGAAGCACTCGTCGACGAGAATGAGGAGCCATCACAAATCTTGAAAGATCTCCACCTGCTGCTCATGGAGACGAGCATCGCAAGTGGAAAGCTAGTCTGCGGCAACTGCGGCCACGAATACGCAGTGAAGGAAGGAATTGCCAACTTCCTCTTGCCAAGCCATATGGTTTGAACGAAGAAAAGTCCTTTACAACCGCAACATCACGGACTGCTGCCTACTTCGCTCGATGAAAAGATTCGGTCTCGAGATATTCGCACTACAATGCCGGCTGCAGCATTGGCGCTACACTATCACATCCACCAGCAAATTACTGCTGCCTTGATGAATTCACCGCTGGCGCGATTACGATTACGAGTCATCAAGATGTGGCGCAGTCCATCTTCAGTAATGGCCGAACACTCTCCGCCAATACGCACACCTGCAGAGCTACCCATCACATTTTGAAGGTGATGTGTCGTTGAGCGCGAATTGAAGAGAACTCGGAAACCGTTGTTGATTACAGATGGCTTATGGATGGTCAATGTGGCTGTGGCTGATAACTTCAGGCGAGCCGAGGGAGCCACTGACTGACATGTGCAAGGCCGCCCTCGACATTTCGTCGATTATCACAATGTCTGGTCCGCCAGGCAGTCGCACATGCAACAGACCATGCGGAGGTTATAATCGTAGCTCTAGCGTGCTATAGGTGCAGAGCGTGAAAATGCCAGCGCAGTGAGAAGAGCAAAGGCAGGGTATTTAGATCGTCTCGAGTCTAGCGAACGTGGCGCCAGGTCAGCAAAATGACGTGCATGTATTTTCCGCGCCCGCCGCCTTAACTAATGCTGGATCGCTGCTGGTGAAAGAGGCCTGAACCTAGACCTGAAGACACCCTCCTCGTCCAGACGCCCTAATCCCTCGCAACCTGAGCGTATTTAATAATTGTTATACCTACACACGGTCGCGCTCCTGCCACCTCCCACCTCCACCTCCGCCGCCCGAACGCCGCCGTACCTCGATCGCCCGTGTGTGCCTCGGAGGCTGCTGCGATCATGCCTTTGACCAAACACAACGCCTCGCCGCAACCTTCAGGGCGCAGTTCGGGTTCAGGGTTCCATCCGTTTGGAGGTCGAGGTGAGGAGAGGAGGAGCGGCGCGTGGTGAATGAGCATACACTGACCAAGCGTGTGGAACCAAAGTGAGCAGGCACTTCGGGGATTCTGTGAGTGCACCTTCTAAAAATCCAACTTCCACTTCCACTTCCACACACAACTCATGCAACAACACACGCGACCATGTCGAGACGCAAGCCGTACAGCGTGCGGCCCACAACCTTACCATACCATCGCGTGCAACGGCGAAGCGCGACTCATGCGGGACGACGAGCTAACGTGCGCCGTGCGGGCCAGCTATCACCAGACGATGCCTACCTCAGCTACTACGACATCCGCCTCACGCGCGAAGACGTTGACTCGATCAAAAACGACTGGCTGACCGACAATGCAATCTCCTTCTGGCAAGAGTACCTCGAGCGCGAGAAGCTCATCCACTACCCCAAAGCCAACATCGTCCTCCTACGACCGACAATGAGCTTCATGCTACAAAAGACTAAGAATCCTATTGACCTGAAAAGCGCACTGCCCAATTTCGAGAGGACAACCCACATCTTTCTTCCCATCAACGACTGCCAGAGCGTCACTACAGCCGAGGGCGGGTCGCACTGGTCACTGCTGCTCGTCTCAGCCATCGATGGCGTCGCCTTCCACTACGACTCGCTGAACAACTCGAATTACCACGAGGCGAGACTCACTGCCCACAAAATGTCGCAACTGCTTGGGAAGCCTCTGAACTTCATCAACCTGCAGGACTCCCCGCAACAGGACAACGGCATGGACTGTGGAGTGTATGTGTGCCTGCTGATGCAGCACCTTCTGATATCCAAACTACTCAAGGCACATGCTCAGGACAAGATCAGCATGAGCATGCGCGGGAAGGAAGTTGATGCCTCAGGAGGGCGGAAGGAGATCTTGCGTGTCATTGAGGCGAGGCGGAAAGAAGGCGAGAGGCGGCGATCGTGAGCATCTACAACCAAAAACTCTGCACATGGAGAAATACTGACAATTTTCGCAGGCGAAGTGGAAGTCCAGCAGGCAAATCTGGTTCCAAGAGCAAATCACCGCCTCGAATCGGCGCCGAGAACGAATGATATCACGACGCGAAAATGAAACGATACCGAAGCAGTGTGGGACATGTGATTCTGAGATTCTAGGTTTTGATCTTCAGCGGAGGCGTTTCTGGGCACCACGGGATGTGATAACGCGTACGAGCGGGCTGCCTTTGCTTTCTCATGGTGTATGTATATGCTACTTCAGAGCCCGAGGCTGAACTGCCTGCAGTGCAGGTACGACGGTCCACACTTGGAAGAACTTCAAATACAGCGAATCCACTGCGGTGGATTGTATGACGGGTGGGCACTCCGCGCACAATGTACACGGCTTGCTGAGGTGACTGGAGTCTTTCATCAAGAGCAGCGTACCAGCCTGCATGTGACAGCCAAAGCGCGACGCCCTTCTCTGAGTTAAGGTTTGATATCGCCTCCCTGGGCGGAGCGTTTCCGTCCTCGGCTACTCCTTCGCGTAATGAACATCCTGTAAGCACAGACACCACACTTGCACAGCTTGGAAGATGAGCGCGAGAGGGTACTTCCTTAAAGTTGCGCGACTTACTGTAGGAAGCATTCTCCATCAGGGGTTCTCTTTCCACTCCGGCAAGCTATTCCATAGCTGAGCTCTAGCTGACCCGACCCTTCACGAACCTTGCGAAATTTGACGAGGGTGTTCGCTCTGATATAAAACATGTCAGCTTGAGTGCCCGGTGGTCCTCAACGCTTGTTCGAGATAACAGTTGCCTACGCGCTCAGTGCTTGTGAGCACCCGCAAAGCTAGTACAACATGGCTGATACTGCGATCAAGATCACAACCGCCGGGAAAGGTAAGTGGCCAGACCCTCTTCCATCCTCCTCACCAAGCCTTAACAACAACAGAATACAAACCAAAAACAGCCGATCTCCTCGCAGTAATATTCCGCGATGACCCAGTCATCCGATTCATGCTCTGTTCCCTCACCCAACAACAACGCGACGCATACATAAAAGAATGGTTCCAAACAGTTCTCCAAGCAGCCGCAGTCAACGATGCAATTTTCCAAGAAGCCGATAATTGGTCCTCAGTCGCAGTTTGGATGAAACCGGGCAAGAAAGTCGTCAGCTTTGTGACTTTTATTCAACCCGCTTTCATTCAGACTTTATTCAAATTGGGATTTGGAGGTCTGAAGAGGATGTTGGTAGATTTCAGTAGCGCTACAGATGCGATTAAAGCGAGGCAGTTGAAGGCCAGAGGGATTAAGAGGTTTTATTATTTGTTTTTTATTGGTACTGTGGATGAGCAGCAAGGGCGGGGCTTGGCGAAGATTGTGGTGAAGAGGTGGCAGGAGAAGTGTTTGCAAGAGGGCGGAGTGCCGATTTGGTTGGAGGCTACGACTCCAAAGAGTAGAGACGTTTATCTTAAATGCGGATTTGAGGTTGTGGAGGAGTTGGTCATGGGTGCAGGGACTCATGATGCACGAGGAGAATTTGCAGAGGGAGGTGAAGGCGTGAGGTTGTGGGCTATGCTGTGGAATCCGAATAGCAAGGAGAGTAGCTCAGCAAATGCCTGATTAATGAGTAACCCCTAGGTCGCGTGTCGCTGAAATGTCCCAAGCAGGGCTTCGCGGCGCTGTTGGTGGAAGGAGCCAAGCTGATGAGCAGGCACCACCAATTTTCCGCCGAGAAAGTGATTCTTTGAACAACCGGTTCGGCCGGCGAATCGGTGCTTAACGGTACTGTAAAGGAGCACATCGACAGTGGACGCCACACGGAACAAGAGAAACGAAAGAAGGGCGCATCTCGTGCTTGAACACAACGGGCATAGCCTCATCCGCAGTCCGGATGGCGAAATGAAGCGAGCGACGAGCTTCGTATGCAGTGTTCCGCCATATCGGGTGAGCAGCTTGTCAATGATGACACGGAAGTAAATCGGCTTGGATGATGGCGGAAGGTGAAGGGAAATGCCCTATAATCAAACAGATCATGCCAAGGCAGCGTGCATGTGAAAGAGATCAAAGGTGTGAGGTCTGGGTCCTATCTCGCTATCCTCGGCGGTACCCATAAAACGAATGGGGCGCGAAACCTACCAGCTGAACGCGTGTGGTCGATATTGCTTGGGATTGGCATTTGCATCAACACAGCCACCGGCGCCTCGTTGAATGAATTGGCGGCCTGCGGCCTGGCGAGAGGCCTCAGCGAGTTGTGCAACTTATCATGCGTCGCGGCCTGATGCATGCTGTCAAATCGTAGGCATCGAATGAACATCTGAACCCGCGATCCCCAAGTGCTGGGAAACGTGGCCAGGACAGGCAGCTGCATTGAATGTCATGTGCGCGTTCTTGGAGTGCTGTGTTGCCTTATCGGAGCAATGAGAAGAGCGCTGAGCGGCGGTCGTTCCTGAGTCTGGTTGGCGAGACGAATATGCTGAGCTGCAGAGCGGCTGCACCCCAGGACTTGATCGACCCGGAGGCAGCTAATCAATACCACAGCCCCGGATTCCGTAGCGAC